GCATTCCTGAGAAAGACTCGCATTTTAATGGATCCAACTATCTCACTCCGTAATACATTTCCATTGGCACTGACCTAAACAAAAAAGAAAAGGGAGGTAAGATTGGGCTGATGTGATACGTCATGACATCAGACAATACTCCCACCCCACCCCCATGTCCCAAGTTTTCTCTGATGTCTTTCTCCTGAGAAATGAATCCAGTAGAGTAGAATTAGGTCAGGGAGGTGATGGGCACAGACGGAGGAGGAAAGGAATCATAATCACTTAGGTTGGAAGAGACCTTTAAGCTCATCAAGTCCAACCATAAACCTAACACTGCCAAGGCCACCACTAAACCATGTCCCCAAGCACCACATCTCCCCGGCTTTTAAATCCCTGCAGGGATGGGGACTCAACCACTTCCCTGGGCAGCCTGGGCCAGGGCCTGACAGCCCCTTCAGGGAAGAACGTATCAGAAATTAGCAATACATCCACATAAAGCATTATGTGTCTCCTGGATGTCCTCAGGGGTACTCCGTCTTAATGACTGACATTGTTCTGAGCATCACAGTACACTAGCCACAGCTGGTTCGACTTTTTGTTGTACCCTTGCAGATTTTCAGACAATAAGTTCTTTTCAACACTTCCTATTACAATTCTCATTACAAATTAAAGGTACCCACCAAAAGGTTAACAGACTCTATAACATCCAGGAACACTTCATTTTTCCTGTATTTTATCCCTTCTGATCTCCATGAAACAGCATTCGTAACAGTGGCAGGTGGACGTGGAGCTCCAGTTTCAAGTTTGTGACCTTCCTGAGTGATGTACCTTTACAGCCACATAATTGGCATGAAAAAATGAATATTAATTTTTTTGATAACTAGACCAAGCCAAAACATTTGCTTCAGCATGGAAGAATGCTCAAAACTTTCCAAGGAGTTTGCCATTGTAAGTGATGCAGAATGATACTTACTCTTGTAAAATTTTACTATCAGTGGTTTGTGGATAACCAAAATCCATAAGCTCGTCTAACAACTCATAAATAATAACAAAATTATCCCTAATGCTCTCTTCTTCCAACTCCTTGAAATATTCAGAAAAAACCTGAAACAAAATGACAGGAGGGAGGGGAAGAAGGAGGACATGAACTGAGGAAGTACAGCACATTCAGAATGTATTCTTGCATCTAAAGTAAACGTTTTTTAAAAGTTCCAAACCAAACCCCGTAATTCACAAACAGCATTCTGTTCAGAAGATTACCCTCAGGAAACCCACCTCAATTAAAAGAGAGCTAGAGAATCCTAGAAGCGACTCTAATATTATGAAAAATATTTATTCTGGAGGAAATATTTTTCATGCCAGGTGCAGATGAACCAAACATAGAATCTCTATGATATGCCACTACTCATGCATCAAGTTCACAAAATTCTCCTTTGTGCTCTCAGGTCTTGTGCAACTACTTACAGCATTGTGTCACATCCTTTGCCTACTCAGCTACAAAAATATCAATTCCATTATTAGTGGTTAGGAAGATAGCTCTACAAAATAATCAAATATAAAGTAAAAACGCTATTACCATAGAGTTCTTCAAAAACGGGAAAGCTCTATGCACTTCTATTTAGATCGAACTGAAAAGATGACAGAGGTTACTTTTGAAATTTCATACTCACCTGAACTACTTTATATAAAAACGAAAACACCAGTGATACACAAGCATTTTTCTTCGAAGTTGCAACAACTGAAAAAGGATGTTCAGGAACATGCATTCAAAGTCACCACTCAAAAAATGTTTACTAAGTGCATTTTTACAAGCCTTTAGGCAATTAGAGGAGGCCAAAAACCCCTAAGAGTTAATTAAGAGTACCTCTGGTCTAACGAGACATGAAGATAAACATTCAGGAAATAATTTATTAGAGTAAAACTAACAGAAACACTTTTCTGCACCCTCTGCTGCTGGTGCACATTACGCTATGTAAAGCGTGAAACGAATTCTTTTAACAGAGCCTCCTTATGTCACCTCGCTCATCCTCCAGCTTTGCATTTAGACACAAACAATGACTATAATATAGCAGCACTTGGCATATCAGCATACGCGAGCTATCTGCAGTGTAAAGGATACGATACAGGTTGTTATGTTTGATCCACATAAAACGAACTCCTCCATGTGCTAGAATAGGAGAAAGTGTCCCCTCTTCTTCCTTTTCCATAAGGATTGGCATAAAATGCTCCACCTCTGACATGTCCACATCTCCACGGTAATTCCGACAGATGAGAACCTATAAGAGAGGAACAAAATCCTTATATTCTTTCTCTTTCATGAGATGATGTTACCATGCAAGACCAACGCACAAGATATTTGGAAGTTACTCTTTAAGTAACTTTAAAAAAGTCACTCCAGCCTCTATGCACACTATAAATGCAAATCACAATGCCAAAATACTTTGCTGATTAGAATGCAAATCCTAACCTTTCATTGTAAAATCATGTATTAATATTTTCCAGAGTTATTCTCCACCTATTGCTGCACACGCCCTAATAATGCTTTTAAGACGGGAAAACATTAAAATCCTCTGAGACAAACTGCCTCCAATTACGGCAGAGACTAATTACCCCAGGCGGAGGCCCAAGGGCCCTGCTGGCACGGCTGCCACCAGCAGCCGCCTCCCTCAGCATCTGGAACTGCGGAGAGGAGGCACAGGCCACGGCTCCCCTCTCACAGCTGGGACCCGCAGTGCCGGGTGAAACCGGGGCTGGCAGCAGGGAAGGGCCGGGAAGGAGAGAGCGGCTCCCCGCCGACCCCCTCAGCAGCCCGGGCCGAGGGAGGCCCCTCCGCTTCGGCCCCGCAGAGCCCCCCGCGGCCCCGGCTTCACCTTTCCCTTCAGGTCCAGCACGTAGACGGCGCTGGCCGACATCGCCCCGCCGCCGCCGCCTCCCGCCCGGGCCGCCGTCTCGCCCGGTCGCAGACACACCGACTTCCGCTTCCTGCACCGGCACTTCCGGCAGGAAGTGACGAAACGAGCCCCGGCTGCTGCGGGGAGGGAATACGCGCAGGGCTCCGCCGCGGCAGCGGAAGAACACTGTGACTGAGCGAGTGCTAAATAGTGCCGGTGTGGGATGCCCCGGGGTCTTTTTTCCCGCTGGGAAATGGTCCCACGCCGCCCAAACAGCACCGGGAGCGGGGCTGGGCGCTAACGGCGCCGGGCCGAGGGGCCGCAGCCCCCAGGGGAGGGCTGGGCAGGCGGAGCGGGGAGCAGCAGGCCGAGGCTGAGCACCCAGGGCCCAACCAGCGACAGCAGGGGGGCGATATTCGGGTTTAAGAACAATATTCGGGCTTCAGAGGCGTGTTAGGATTTTAAACATCCAGATACACGTCATCTCTCCACGGGAGTAAGAACTGTAAAGGCAGGCAAGGCACTTGAAAAACTCCACGCACAACTTTCATCGGAGCACTGCCCCCCATGTCACAGGCAAGGCAGCACCAAAAAAAGGGTGAAAGCAGCATTTTAATAAGTTACATCAAAGTTACAAGTTACAGCAGAGCCCCCACCTCTGAAAGAACCCTAGACAGAAAGAAATTATACAGTTCCTATAACCTACAAGAGAAGCTCAGGCTATGTGAGACTGTCAGACTCCTCACTTCCAAAAGGCAGAACTGTTAGTATCCAACAAAGGAACGTTTTCCAGCAATCGATCTGGGCCTTCATCCCGCTTTAAGCATTTAAAAAAACTAGCCCTCTGCACCTACATAAATCAGAGCTCATCAGCCAAGAAGAGACTTTGCTGAATATTTGGTTTTAAAAAACAAAACAATGAAATAAGACAGTACAAAGTCATAAACACTCAGATTATATATTAAACATTCAATATGGAGAATGCACAGATTTACATGGCAACCCCGTTCAATACAAAAAAAACACAACTCCTGATCCAAAGCCTTGACAAGCAGTCCGTTCACTTCGTCCAGCTGACTTTAGGAATGTCGTAATGCTCGGTCAGAGTATCCAAGTGCCTGTTGAAATCCTAGGGGAGAGAAGGGGAAAGAAAACCTTTAACGTTTGGTGCTGACATCGCCACCACTGAACCACACGACCCTCTGCCTCCCCGCTTCTGTGTTTCACAAGGGTGAAACAGTTCCTCCAGCCCAACAAGCCTGCGTGCTGATAAATACACACCGGCCTCAGGAAATCGGGATAATTTAGCCTACCTCCACTCTCTGCTTATGGGTTTTCGACGCTTTCTTCAGGATCCTCTCCATTTGCTGGGGGAAGACACCAGAGAGGCCGGTTACTTCCAGCACCCGTAGCCCCTCAGGGGCCGCATCTGAGGGGTCGACTGGGGTTTTTAAATCCCCCCCCGGGCCCCCAGAGGGGGTCTGGCCCGGGCAGGGCAGCCCTACCCGCTTCTCCTGCATCTTCTCGTAGGCCACCTGCGCCGGGGTCCGCTTGTCCAGGCCGCGCTTCTTCTCCTCCTCCTGCTTCTTGCTGCTCACGATCTGCTCCAGGATCTGCGCCTTGTCCTTCGCCTTTTTCTTCTTCCTGCGGTCAGAGGGCGGTCAGCGCCCCGGCCCAGCTGCCCT